GGTAATAATCTAGAATTTTTTATCTAAATCTTGGAATAAAATGTCTGTCTTGGTAGAAATTAGAATGGCAAAAATGGGAGATCAATTGGAAGCAAAGATTAGTGCTTTGGAGTTAAATCAAGAAAAGTTATGGCTCGAGCTTCAAGAGATGAAACAACAGATGGCTCAATAATGGAAATGGTTAAAAGTAGTGTTATAGTTGAATTTGTTCCTTTTCAAGAATTGTTATCACTTTCGATTTCATTAAATCAAGATCAACTGGCTCCTACTAGTTCTAGCACTTTTCTAGATCATACTAAGGCATCGGATGATTTGAATAGTGGCCAAGGTTTAGGCAAACTTAAGAGAGGAATGGGTGAACTAGCCACGCAAATGACTAAGCTCAAATTTTTTATTTTCAACAAAGAGTCAATTGGCTTCAAACAACCATCACCAAATATCCCAAGTCCAAACTCGCACCCAAAACCTTCTTATGACTACTTCCAACCTCCTTTCCAAGTACCTAAGATTAGGCCCCCAAATGTCATGCAACCTTCAAAAATTCCATACCTAAATCCACGTCTCCCACTTCACACTTCACAATCGCTTGTTCAGCATGCTATCCAATCACCACTTTATCAACCCAATCTTTAACCTAGAGTTTTTCAATTCACCTTGAAACCAACTATACTACCATCTTTTAAGCAAAGCAAACCAACCATAGGATAGAAAAATTCTAGCAACAATAAAAGAAAAGTTTCTATTGATCTAATACCCATGTCCTACACAGAGTTATATTTATTGTTCTTAAAAAACTATCTCATTGCCCCCATCCCTACTGAACCTCGTAAACTACCTTTTTTCAAATGGTACGATCTTAATGCCCGATATGAATACCATTTTGGCATCATAGGCCATTCTCTTGAAGACTGCATGACTTTGAAGTATAGGGTGCAAGGGTTGATAAAAGTCGGGTCTTTGGGTTTTGACATCAAAATGAAGCCAGTTGTTCATAAGAATCTTTCATTAATCCATGTTGAAACAGCAAGTACTACTATAGATGGTAGTCAAATTGGCCAAGATAATTAATGAAAATAATAAGCCTTTAGGTACAGGGATATCCTTATCAGCAACTATAGTCCACTTCTTTTAGATTTCTTAGGCGAGACAAGGGGGAGTGAGAACAAGTCTAGCATTTTTTAGCCATAGCCTTAGAATGGTTCATGATATGTAAACTTGATATTTTTTAGAATGAATAAAAAAAATTTTTTAATCTGAATTTTTTATGAATTGATGCTTCTGTCCACTTTTAATAATTGGAGCCAGTGAAAAAGAGTGATGGTTGTAAATATACTTTCACCAAACTTTTAAAGATGAAGGAATATCCTTAAATAACTCAATTAGAATATAGGATGGAACTCAAGTTTTTCCTTTTTAATAATAATAAAATTTGACTTGCACATCATGTATCATCTATTTGAATTCATTATTTGTCATGCTAGCTAAGCACAAAAGAGAATGATTATGAATATGCTTTTGTTAAACCTTCAAAGTCAAAAAAAATTTTATAATAAAATTTATGTCATGCATTTTTTACTTCTGGTAATCAATAAAGGTTCAAGGATAGCTATCCTAAGAATGAAATCAGTTAAATCTGTACACTTATAGCACTCGAGTTTGTACCAGATCATGAAAAATAAAGATGAAAGTTGAATGGACAAAATAGAAAAGACCCAAAAAGAGATTAGCGAAACAGTTACAGAAATGTAACAAAATGTGAACAGACAGTTAGTAGAATTAAAACAGAAGTTAACAGAGTTGACACAAGGAAAAAGAGTTGTTGAAACACACAGGGCAAGAGAGGAAACAGTTGTTGAGACACCATTGTATCATCTAGGTTCACATATGTTCAAGACCCCCATATGCCACAAGCACTTCCAACTACTCATCAACATTTTACTGACATTTCTGTCTAGTTACCCTCAATTCAGATAAATGTCAACCCGAGGCATACTCTTCATGACTTTATTGTTATGCCTAATATGGATGATCTTAAAAAATTTAAAATTTAAAAAGGGTGCTAGATCTATCAAGAGATATAGTGATGAAAGATAAATTTGATCTATTAGAAAAGAGATTGAAAGTAATTGAAAGCCATGACGAGTATGAGAATGTTGATGCCAATGAGCTTAGTTTAGTGTCTGATCTTGTTATTCTATCAAAATTTAAAGCCTCAAATTTTGAGAAGTATGATGGGACGAAATGCCCTTTAACACACATCACCATGTACTGTCGAAAAATGACAAGTTACACTCATGATAGTAAGTTGTTGATCCATTGCTTTCAAGATAGTCTTATTGGGCCTGCAGCAAGATGGTATGCTCAGTTGGAATGAAGTAAGATTTGCTCTTTGAATGACTTGGCTAAGGCCTTTCTAACACAATACAAGCATGTTAAAAATATGGTGCCAAATAGGTTATCTTTGCAGAACATGAAGAAAAGATCAACTGAAACTTTCAGAGAATATGTATATGATGGAGAGACATAGCAACCCAAGTACAACCACCCTTGTCTGAGAAAGAAATTACTATTCTGTTTGTCAATTCCTTGAACACTCCTTATTATGAAAGAATAATTGAGAATGTCTCTAAAAAATTTTTAGACATGGTGATTTCTGGTGAAATTATAGAAAATACAATCAATAGTGGCAGGATTAAGTTAAAAGATACGACAGATGTTGAAGAGAAAAGTACATTAGAATAGAATAAAAAAAAGGTGCAAATAGTCACAATGGAAAGGCATTTACCTAAATAGCTTTATCACGTACAATCCTTATCCTATTTATTAACCTTATCATTCTACCATAAGCCATATCTCTCAAAACCCATATTTTTGCCAACCAAGCCAGCATTTGGGCTTTTCAACAAATTCTTATCCTCAAATGGCCATTCATTATCTTGTTCCTATACTTGAACCTACCACTCAACCAATAAAGAATCGAAAGAAACCAATGAATGATCAAGAGAAATTGTCTATCCTTATTTTTCACCTTTTACCTTTATTAATAGAAAGTTGGTATCTCACTCATGTGCCTCTAAAAATAACACCAAATCCATTAGCAATGAGTTATAATCCTAATGGCAAGTGTCATTATCATATGGGGACAATCGGTCACTCAATTGTAAAATGCAGACAATTGAAAGAAAAGGTTGAAGACCTTATCAAAAGGGGTATTCTGACTCCAAAGGTGATAGAACAATGGAAGTTATTGACTCCATCCAATTTTCAAATGTGAAGAGTTGAGATAAAGAGGGAGGTTTTCGAGTTTTAAAAATCAAGATAAAATGATTTCTTTTTTAATATTTTTACTATGTATGTATGACATATGCATTGTGTCTATAGGAGTTATCTAACTTATTTTGAAATAATTGAATGTTTTAGATCTTTCTTCTCTTTATGCATTTTTTTGAATAAAAAATCTCACATAAGTAACTTTTAAGATTTCAAACAAAAAAAAAAACAAAATCTAAAAAGAAAAAAGAGAAAAAAATTTTCTTTTGTAATAAAGATGGAAGGATTCTTAAGGAAAATGGTGATTACTATTAGAAA